GCATGGGACTCACTCAGCCTCAGCCGTTCGTTGCTCTGGTTGGTTAGCGTTATCCTATAGCGTGCCGAGGGATATTGAAAGACAACCTTTTATCCCGCCCCTCGGATTGAGGTATGCCAATTGTGAGTTCCCAGACCTAACATCTTGATGTAGGTCTGGCTTGCCAGGCTAACAAACCGGTACAGTACAGTACAATTCGAGACGGTAAACCCTGATCTTACTTGATAGGCGTGGTGTTTGCCGGAAAGTAGCGATCAATGTCATTATCGCGCAATGAAGAAAGTGACATAGGAAACAGCAATGGAGGACATACAGCAAATTTTGTTCTTTCTTCTTGGCATGTGGCTTTTTGTTACAAGAACAAACGGTATTGTGTTTCAACTGTATTTAAAAAAATGGCGTATTTTAAAAATTGTGTTGTCATTACGCGCAAGTAACGATTCTCAGTCAACCAATCAGTGTTCTGCATTGAGTCTAGCTCCACCCTTAATACCGGACTACTGTGCTAGGTACCCCAACGGAAGAGTCCCAAAAAAGTGGTACGGTACAGTTCGGAATTAGGGGACCATTCACAACTTCTGACAGTGAAAACGACAAAAATTGCATACAGTACCATACTAAACTATACTGCATTGTACCACTCTGTGGAAACGAAGCATTAGAGCGTAACTGGTGTAGTCCGATTCCTTAAGGAATGACTCTTAGGAGGCAATTATTTTACACCATGTATGTAGTTTGATTCAGGTGTAGTTAAACTCCAAAAGAATTACTCCTGTGAAGTTAATAAAAAAAAAAACATACAGCGCTACCCGTTTAGTCTGATTCCTGAACGAATGACTCTTATCAAATGTGCAGTACTGTGAGGCCAGTGCATTTTTTGATTCCCAACCATGGACTCTTAGGAATCGGTTCTTTTTAGCAAATCAAAAACACCCAGCCCTTACTTCTGAAGCGTTCTGTTTTTCTATATGTTGTAGAGACAATGCAAATGCAAATACAACTGGAAATTTAAGATCTCTGCAAGTTAATAGCTGAAAGACTCATCAGTCTTTCATTAAAGGTTAGCTGGAGGTGTGGTTAGGAGCAGGAATGCAACTCTGTGCATTTCTTGAGAACATATACACGAGTTGAGCCTTCCAAAAAGAATAAATTACAGGGCCATTTGGCTAGAAAGAAAATTACCCAGGCTGTTCAGCTGAACGTATTTTTCCCTCTAATGACTGTGACATTTTGCCATCTCATCCTAAATGTCAGGAATCAGCAGACCTCTTGAGTGCTTTCAATAGATCCCAAACGAGAATCTGGCCAGGAACGCAGCGAGGGCGTTTGTCTGGAAGATCAGGCGTGGATCGGCCCGCAATCAATTAAAGCGTGCTAAAAGAAAGCGAGAAAGAAAGATGGGGGAGGATAGATGGAAATTGCTTTTTCAGAAAAGCATTACCGCATTCATATAAAAGGCTATTTGCATCCTGTGGCGTGAGATACTGTCAAAGCAATATATATGTATACAAGCATATAACTACAAGATGTGCATCTCTTATGAGTCTCCATCTATTCTAAATAAAAAAAGTGTGTACATACACCGCACACACCCCTCCAGTGGAATATATTTTTGTTGCATTATATAATAAACATTTAGAATTTTCTATAGGTTTTCATTTTTATATGATTAGTTATATATATATATAATGTAAAAAAATATAAAAAATAGATTAAAATTACATGTTTAATATATAATTCAATTTGTACACAATTTACATTATGTATACACACTGAGTATATATATATATAGATTTAATTATTTAAAAAATCTAAAAAAAAATTATTTATTTAATTATATAAAAAATATATATTTTTATCATTATTTAAAAAATATATTTTCAATATTTTCACATTCATTATCATATTTATAAAAGGTCAGTGTGAGTCTTCGATGCATTATATACACATAAATATATATTTACAGGATTTCTGGATACAAATCTAGTTATATAAAAACTAGAAAGAAAAATCTAGTTATACTAAAAACTAATAAAAATTTAGTTATACTATGAAGTATATAGTTAACTATTTTGTGGTTATTATAAAAAAAAGGTTTTTTATTTTGTGGTTATTATTTTAAAAAAAAGTTTTTGTTGGTATTCGCTTGTTTTTTGTCCCTCAAACTAAAGTGTCTGTCCTTTAGGTTTAGATTTACTAAAGCGTTCTGTAGTTGTTTCATATTGAGAATATTAATGCGTCCTTTAAACAAAAGAACTCTCAGCTCTGCAGGGGAATAAATCTAAAGTCTCCTCACAGCTTAAGCTTTATCATGCTATTGAAGCGTTACTCCCCAGTTCCGGAAGTTTCCACCTCCCTCGTCTCCCTTACACATGTACAGTGTCTCTCCATCAAGCAATGAAAAGGAAGTCATTGACTTTATTTAGCCAACAGGGAGACGGGGTACGTGCGACATTACTCATGATTGTATACATCTTAAGTTATCGTCTCACTGAGATTCTCCCCCGTCTCTAGTCGTGCTTTTCTTTACTCTCTTCCCTTCTTCGGCAGCAAACGTGGAAGAGAGAGGGGATTACCACTCCATTCTGCTGGACCCCAGGGGTCCCGTCTCATTCCAAACATTGCTGTGTGTGTTTGTGTGTGTGTGTGTGGCAGGAAACGGGGTCGGTCGGGTCCAATGAAGGTTTCAGTCACTCATCCATGGAGGGCTGCATAGAGAAGAGTACAAATTCCCGACCTTGCATTTTTGTCTAACCTTATCCATTCTGTCTTTATGACTGTTTACACTGTTGTAGTTCTGCCACACCTGGGCATTGTTTTAAGATGCATTTAACTTCACATTAGTTTAATTTCCTCTTCTAAGGGAGGCCAGATCACTCTCTATAGTTTGTGTGCTGGGAGGATCATGTCTCACACACAATTGGATTTAGAAATACGGCTGTCATGGAGAAGAGTGTCTAATCTCTCACACTATGTATATGTGTGTGTCTGTGGGATTGTTGGCTGTGTGGTTTCATTTAATGCTTGAATATGCTTGGCATTTATTTTCACTTATTATTTATATAGTAAATATATATATGTGTGATTTCTGAAGGATCATGTGACACTGAAGACCAGCTTTGCCATTACAAGAATAAATTACATTTTGCAATATACTGTGAGACTAAAATTAGACTTTTTCATTTGATATTTTTCATGAAATAAACGAGAGATGTCTTCTGAAAACATTCAAAAAGCTTGCCATCCCAAAGACTATTGAAAAGTAGTGTATATTGTTATTATATATGCCTGTTATATACAGTATATCAAAACTTATAATACATTTCTATCATAACCATATTTTAATGCCTATTTTTAATCGTTTAAAAAACGAATTGTAAAGGTATCTCTTAATTTCTCTCTTGATTGGGAATTTGAAGACAAATTCAATGAAGAAAAATTTAAACGCAAACAAAAATATATAATTATTTATAAAATAAAATGATTGCCAAATCTGGAAAATGTAAAAAAAAAAACAAAACAAAAAAACATTTACAATTACATGATATATAACCTCATACCTGAGTCAATAGTACATTATTGTGTAGAAAGATTTCTAGTCATGTTTTGCAGAACTCAAAATATCACCATATATAAACTAGAGACGTCCTAATTACTTCTAATGAAACTCTATGGTGTCATTATAAGATATTATGAACATTTTAAGCAGGACCAGAGGGCAGGACTAATGTTATTAGTGTTGCTTGTGAAACATTAAATTAAAAGAACACAAATCTTTAGGGTAAAATGTGACTGCAAAATTGCAGATACATATTTCAATCTCTGTATGAAGGTCATAAAGATTATAATTTTGGCCTGTTTCAATTATACATTTTTAGACATTTAAACACTTCTAAAGAATTAGATTTTTTAATAACTTTGATTATGGTACATAAATTAAAGAGGACCTATTATGCCCTTTTAAAAAGCCTTGACATTAGTTTTGAGGTCTACTAGATCTTTTTATGCTTGAATGTCCAAAACAACAACAACAACAACAAAACATTATTTTTCACATATTTGACATTATTGCAGCTTCCCAGGCTGTCAGTAACACTGTCTCTATGAAGCCCCTCTTTCCAAAATGGGCGGTGTGCTCTGATTGGTCGGCTGGACCAGTGTGTTGTGATTGGTCAACCGCTTTGAGAGTGTTTTAGAAATGTCACGCCCCTTTCCATAACCGCGAGTTTCAACCAACTAACTCAACTCAACCAGGCCTTGCCCCTTTATTTTATTTTTTGCGCATATCTCGGATGGGAATTATTTAAATGAGGAATATCTTGACATGTTCGTTCCCAAAAGAAAACTCACGAAAAATCAAGGCGTTTCAGGGAGTTCAGAAACAGTGGTTGCTGATATAGCAACATGACATCATGACTTTTGCGTAAACATATACGCCACTTTCGAGTCAGGTGGCGTGTCATCTCTACGCATTTTGAGCTATCCGCGTGTATCCGCGTGTATGCGTATATGTCTACGCCATTAACGTCCGCGTCATTCCGCGTGTCTGTACACGCAGTCAAATCTCCAGTCATAAATGCCATTAACCCCAGTGACGGTTAAGTTTAGGAATGGGGTTGAGGTAAGTCATATCTTTTTTTTTTACCTAGGATGGTAAGGGAACAGTCATAAATGCCATTAACCCCAGTGACGGTTAGGTTTAGGGACAGGGTTTGAGGTTGAAGTCATAAATTTATATAATGTTAAGTCAACGGCGTTCATAAACACGCTGAAAGGCGATTATGCGTCTTGATAGCACGCCAAAAATGGAAATACGAATTGGCGTGTCATACACACGCTACTTCATGAGATCAGTCTGGATATAAAGTGACTTTGTGCTTTGTAACTTTGCAGGCCTTTCTCATGCTCAAACAGCAACATTAAACCCTGAAACCAACATAATTGGACGTCTTTAATATAATGTTTCTTCATTTATCTCTCTCTCTCTCTCTCTTTCCCAGGCTCTTCTGAAAATAGATTGTCAGGGTTTAGTGGCCCGACTCATCATGGACTTTGTGTTGCTGACGACGGCAGTGGAAGTGGCTCCTCGCTGGAGGGAACTTGCTGAAAAACTCGCCCATGTATCCAAACAACAAATGGAGGCCTATGAGGCTCCGCACAGAGACAAAACCGGGATGGTGGATAGTGAAGTAAGGACACCTCCTTTCAATATGGAAAAGTACAGTTTACATTTGTGAGTTCAATCGCAAGATATAGCCATTTACATGTATCTCGTAATTTCAGGCCATGTGGAAACCAGCCTACGACTTCCTGTTGACGTGGGCCGCTCAGATTGGCGACAGTTACCGCGATGTCATCCACGAACTGCACATGGGGCTGGACCGGATGAAGAATCCCATCACCAAACGCTGGAAACACCTCACCGGCACCCTTATCCTAGTCAATTGCCTCGAATTGCTTCGAAGCTCCGCCTTTAGCCCCGCCCCTCAGGATGACTTTGCCATTTAGTTCCACCTCCTCACAAAGCAACACCTCAGAATTTCTGTTTCGACATCACCTCGGGAGAATGCTAAATTCTAACGGATATAAACTTTTCTATTTCACCGTCAGCTGTGAGTTTACCTCAATCCAATAACCGCGAGGACGTCCTGTACCCGCCCACGTCCAAATAAGGGCATGCGGAAAGCCAATGAAGCCAAAACACTGAGTGTTTTAAGTGTAGCAATTGTTTTTAGAGTTCTGAAGCTGTTTTTATCAGTTTTGTTCTTTGCGATATCTATATTTTTTATATCGGATGGCACAAAGGAAATTTATACAATCACATTTTTCAAGGACGATTTTTTTCTGAAAAAAAAAAGAAGCAGATTTAATCTTGGTTCGTTACTAAAAACGAAGGTCTATTTTGTGATGTCACATTTACCCACGTTTGTCTTGGTCTTGCAGTTCTGTAATTTGTTGCCAAACGGTCGAGCCTTCCACATTTGTGATTTTTTAAATTTTTTTCCACAATCTTTATTTGTTGCGTCATATTTGATCGGTAGCTCTATACGACGAAGAAGACGGATTAGTATTACTAGACACATGAAACAACACAAACTGGTTACGTGGGAGGAACAAGCGTATGGTGTGTTAATGAGATGGGAAGAGACTGTGGGAAAAAAAAGGAAAGGTTCAGACTGGATCTTGTGTAAGCTTTTGCAAAGTTTGCTTTTGAGAGACCAGATATCGCATCATGTACTTGGTATTGGATTGCAGTGTTGCTTTAGTTTCAATCGTGAGTCATTCATTCAGTGTTTTTGTCGAGAAACAAATGCAGTCAGATGAATAAATGAATAGATCATAGCGTGATTTTATTTATGACTGATGATTTTTTTTCTTTTGTGTTCTATATTTTTTTGTACCTGATATACAATTTTTCCAATTTTAGACATTTTTATGTTTGCCGGTTTATTTGTTTTGAATAATAATCATTTCACGGACCTGCACATGTCAAGGAGATTTTGTGCTGGTTATTTTAACAGCATGTAGGGAAAAGAAGTGAATGTGTATGCAATATATATATATATATATATATATATATATATATATATATTCGGTCACATTTATAACTTGTTTTTGTGTTAGCTCTTTGAGAGTGACTGTTTGAATAGCTATAATTCACACATTGTCTTAGTTGCAGCCAAATGTTAAGCACGAAGCAAATTAAACATGCTGTCCCATGTTGTTCCCATGGATTCAATAAAGCAGCTGTACATGAGAGAATGTTGTTAGGTTTGTCAGCTCCCTCTTTATTGTGACTATTTATCATAATTGCAAATTTGTCATTTATAGTTATTACAACTGGTTCTTGATACAACTTTATTGACGATTATGACTTCATATCTTGTTATTGCATCAATTTTGTTATGATTAGGACAGTACATCTCACAATTGCAAAGTTTTTTGGTTTTGTTTTTGCAATATTGAAAATTCCTCACAATAAGGACTTTACTTCTTGTTACTATTCATAAAACTGACTTAGTTTTTTTATTATTGCAACTGTTTCTCATAATTCTGACTTCATTTCCTGTTATTGACTATATATCACAATTGCAACATCATTTTGTTCTTGCAAATATCACTCAATTGTGATTTTATTTCTCATTAATGCATAAAACAGTTTATAAATTCGACTATTTGTCACAATTCTGACTAAATTTTGTTATTGCATATCTCTATCCCAATAGCGACAGTATGTCTCACAAATATGACCTTATTTCCTGTTATTGCTACTATACATCACACAATTGCAACATCATTTTGCAATATTGCAAATATTATAATAAAATAATATTGCAATATTTATTTCTCGTTAAGTGCTCATAAAACGGTTGATAAATTTGACTATTTGTCACAATTGCGACTAAATTTTTTTATAGTGACAATTTCTTATAATTGCGACAGTATATCTCACAATTGTGACTTCATTTCCTGTTATTGATTATATATAACAATAGCAAAATCAACTATTGAGAAGTTATTTTAAATATCTCACAATTACCTTTTACTTGTTTTACTCTGAGGCAGAAACAGGTCAAAATCTTAAATTAGAAATTAGAAATGCTAATCCTCTGTTGAAGGGATAATTCACTTTGAAATTATTTTTGATATGCTTTAGCTTAACTCAAGGGCATCCAAGATGTAGGTGTCTTTGTTTCCGCAGTATTTTCAATTTTGACATTTTTCGGTCCAAACTTTCTTGTCTGTCAGTCATATAAAGGGGTCCACGTCACAGAGCATGCACAGAGAAGTCCAAATTAAACATGATTTAATGACATTGATGGCCTAAGACACGAAACGAGTGGTTTGTGTGAGAAAACAAACAGTATTTATATCGTTTTACCTCGCGCAATCAAATTCATGTCCAAGTGATATGAATCAGTTGTGCAACGTCCAACTGAACCGAAAGTGATCGCTTGCTGAAACAAGTGATCGCTTGCGTGTGTAGGCCTACGTCACTCAATATTCACAAGAAGATTTCGGAAGTTTTACCTTTAAACATATTTAGATATACCGAAATCGTCTTCCATTGCGATTTCCTGTATATCTAAATATGTTTAGTGAAAGATAAAACTTCCGAAATCTCTGTAGGCTATAAACAAAGAGTGAGGTGGGCGCGCAAGCGATCACTTCTGGCGCATGCGCAGACCGCAGCGCCTGACTCGTGTCCCGTCAGATCAGATCAAGACACGGTTTGACATCGTTGTGGCAGCACGAGGTAAAAACGATATAAATACTGTTCGTTTTCTCACACAAACCGCTCAAGTATCTTATTTTTTACAGTCTTAGGCCATCAATGTGTACTTACATTTACGAGTAGGCCTAATTCAATCATGTTTAATTTTGACTTCTCTGTGCATGCTCTCTGAGGTGAACCCAGGGTGGAGCCCCTAAAACCTCCATTATATGACTGACGGACAACAACGGTTTGACCGAAAAATATCCAAATTGAAAATACTGTGGACACAAAGACGCCTATCTTGGATGCCCTTGAGGTAAGCTAAAACATATCAAAAATTAATTTCAAAACTATCTCTATGGCAAGTTTTCATAATAGCACTTAACATAAATTGACAAAGATTTGCTTATATCATCCACCCTGTTACAACACCTGACTAAGATTGTGGTTTGAGTTTTAATGCATTTAAAGAGTACATGCCCTTTAGAGAGAGAGTGTGTGTGTGTGTGTGTTGCGGTTTTTGTGTCTGACCTCTTCCCAGTCTGTCTGCAGCTTTCTGCATCCCTAAGCACTTCAATAGAGCTGACTGTGAAAAATCAATTAACACTATATTTAAATTGCTAAATTAATTACAAGCTTGCAGAAAGTTGAATGGGCACTATAAAATCAAGATTGTTTTATTACATTCATAATTAACGAGGGAAAAGTACAATGATTTGAATCATAAAGACATAAATGCCGAGCAAAGTAAACACATAAAAACACAGCAGCAAATGCTGTAGCCTACCCTTTTTCCAGAAATGGGTAGATCCAGTCCTGGATGCAGATTGGTCGAAACAGCATTGCAGCTGTGCTAGATTAAACATTATAATAACAGCTATGAAACAAAAACACTTGTTCAAATTTCAGTCTGTTTCTAATTTATTATTAGCCTTCTGGATATTTTATAAGTAATTTTATGATATTTTATGCTTGTTTTTTTTCTCTCTTTTGAAGTAGGCCTACTTGATGTACCCATTTTTATAAAATATTGACTAGAATAAAGAAAAAAAAAACAAGTGTATTAGAGAAAGACTCAGTAGCCTATGTATTTTTAATAATGTTTAAATGGTGCAGGCAACTATTTGTGAATTTGATTATGTATTTTAGGCTACTCTCTGGTGCTGTGTACTTGTCGCGAGACTCCGCCCACACGCTGTTCCGATTGGCTGTGGTGTTTGATTGATTTTGACGCATCTCGCAGTCGCGTCTTCGCGTCTAGTGTGGACAGACAAATGATTTGTCCCTGGGATCTTATCGCATCGCGTCTGGTTAGGACACGGTGTCAAGTTAAAAAGATACTTTGGCTGTTTTTCCTGAAAATCTCACAAAACCTCTCAAGAACATGTCCAGACCAAGGTTTGTTTTGAAATTTCTTTAATATGTTAATATCCTTTTGCATCATGACAGTTTCCATCACAATTCGGCACAGTTTCTCTACAAATTCTTTCTAAATGCAAATTAGCCTATTATAATGTCCAACAATAAAAAATGGACACTTTAAAAAAAATCATAATTGCCATGAAAATGAAATGTGATGTGGGCATTTCCGTGAGATTCACTCAAAGCCAAACTTCTATGAGAAAGAATAATAGGGCTTTTCTTTAATGAATAAATGAACTGAGGAGTGACTTAAAGGTGTCTTCTACTGGAATATTAGGGTTTAAGTTTAAAAAAAAAGGCGTTTGATCCGTTTTCTTCATAATCTACTGGAGTCTTTCATGTTGGTGGATTCATCGTGAGGACTCTCTGAGGAGTAAAAGTTCTCGAGATGCAAAAGTGGATGAACCTCCACTTCCACTTCTCAGTTTATTTCACACCCTTCGCTTCTCATCGACATCAGATCGAGACTGAAATTCAAGCACAGATGCAAAACAAGTGGCAGAAATGGAAGAGCAAATGAAAGAGTGGGACAGAAAAACCTCAACCAAACAAACAACCAACATTCTTGTTTTCTTTCACACAAGACAAACAAAAGAACCATCATGATCCTCCGCTCCTTTTATTAAGCCCGCATTGCAGCCAATGATTAAATGAATGTATCATTCTGATGACATAATTGCTTGTCTCAGGCATCCATTGCAAAATTGGGTTAATTAAACATTCCAGCCATCCACTACGCATCATAATGGGCAGCCGACACTGAGAGCTTTTTGCAAGGAGGCAAGGCCACACAGCGGGAAAACATTCCAGACGGTTGCCAGGAAACGAGGAAATGCTTCAGGCTGATTGGCTAAAGGGGAAGAGGTCATTGCGTTGTGAAGAAGCTGGATCTAATACTCCGTGAATGTCAAAATAATGTGGACCTGATTCGATTTTAGGTTTAAATGGCGTGTGCAATACCTAAAGGGACCAGTTTTGTAACTATTTTATTTTTCTCCCTGTTAGTATAAGGTTTATTGCACAGAGACCATCTCGATTTCATCTCATACGGTTCACTAGAAACATTAAATCTGAAGACAAACCGTAAATCTGAAGATAGCAGTTCTGTGACACACACACACACACACACACACATATATATATATATATATATATATATATATATATATATATATATTGAAGTATATTAGTAATAAATACATTTCCATGTATTTTAATCTATTAATTCTAAATAGAAGAAAATATATGTTTTACTTGTATTTAAATACATTTTGAAATATGTTAGAAATGTATGTAAATATTTGATTTTGGCCCCCTTTAATATTTTTCACATATGTAAATCTATTTTTATTGCAAATGTTTAAATACATGTTTTTCTTAGTCAATATGTTTTGATATCCATCTTTGTAAATACATTAATGTTCAATATTTGTTCATATATTAATTTATAATATGTGTTAATATATTAGTTATCTGTAAATGTAAATATATTAATTTATAATATAT